AAAAAAAAATTCTTTATCTAGTAAATTGCAAATCTCTGTGACTTTGAATTTGGCTACCAGGAAATTATTGTGATCCTTTAGCAGTGTCATGTCACCTTGATTGTTTGTGTTCTTTGGAGTTGGCGTTGCTGTCTTTGCATTTGAAGTAGCAGTCACCTCCTCCAGTCTTTGCTGACTGCCTTCAGGATACAGATATGTTCCGTCTGCCCTGCTGGGATTCTGAGGCTGTCTCAGACCTTCTACGTGTACACCGGCTCCATCCTTCTTGCTCTCTCTTCTCAAGCTTGTATGCCTTCTCTGGATCCTCAAGGCATCAGGCCAAGCACTGACACCCTCTCTTGTTTTCCCAAAGGTGGCGCTAAACCTCAAGTTTGTGGTCTCTCTGGTAGGCATATTTGGCTGACCTTCTGCGCTCACTCCTTAGCCAGCTGGCTCCTGCTGCTGTCAGGAGTGCACACAGGGAGCTGGCCCCAGGGTAGGGAGGCATGTGGGTGAGACACACAGAGCACTGGGGGTGCGTGGGCCAGTGAGGCATTCCCAGTAGTTCATGGGTGGGCTTCTTGATGGAATCTGTGAGGCAGTAGGGACTGTGACCCTTTAATGTCCCCCAAGAGTGTTCCTGCCACTCTCCCTGCCTCTTCCTGCGCCACAGGCCACAGTCGTGTGGCTCTCAATCCAGCACTCTGAATGGGGTGAGAGAGAAATGAGCCCCTTTGGCAGCATCCTGTGAAGCTGGGGAAGCTGGGTGCTCACTCACATGCTCTCCCTTCCCCTACGGGACAAATCACAGGTCGAGGAAGAGGTTCCCTGGCCCTAAGCTGTGCCACTTTGGGGGAGGGGTGATGCAGGTAAAGTCAAACTGTCCGTCTCCCCCTCTACAATGGATCCAAACTTGTATCTGTTTTTTCTCCAACGAAGTGCTAGAATTTCTCCTCTGGAAACCTAGATTTCCACAAAGGCTCTCTTGCCCATGAGTGATTGTCAAAGTCAGTGTTCACCAGGGCCTCTCAGACCGCAGCCAAGAGGGCAGGAGATATTTCTAGGCCACTGCAGGGTCCACAGCCAGGACCAAGTTCTGTCTGCCTACTACCTGACAGCAGGTGGGCAAGGCTCCTCCGGTGGCCTGTAGTGCTGGGTCCCACAGCTCCCTCCACGGCACTGTTGTGCATGGGTGGCTGCTTCGGTTCATGCAGGAATTTCTCCTGTCGGGGGGACAAAAACAAGGGATGCCTCATACCACCATCATGCTGACATCACTTTCTACACAGGATTTTTTAAAATAACAGTTAGGTCATATTATCTCTTTAGCTCCAAAATTATTATGGACACCTCTCTGTGATGGAATTTTAAAGAGCTACCTAATTAAATCTAATGACTTAATTATATTCCATTGTATTTTTCATAATTTACTTATCATGTTTAAACTAGTATCATAATGTATCCTTAATTATCACATCATACTAAATTATACTTATATTAATAATTTAAACCACTCACAAACTTTTAAACAGAACTTCAGTAGTGGTTAAAATAGATTTGTCATGATAATGAAGCATTTTAAAAAGAAAAAACTATGTATATTGCATACAACTTCTAATCATTTTATCCTTTTTGGACATCTAGTAAATCTTTAATGTTATTGGAGGTGCATGTGAATTTTTATTGTCTTTAGCATTCATCAGTTAGTGTTTTTTTATTGCTAGTTTTATGTTATCGTATAAAGAAGTTTTATTCCCCCGTGAGGGGCCAGGGATTCTGCCCTGTGCATATTGTGTATTGCCCCATCCTCAACTGTAATAACTCCCTGGCCTACAGAACACTACTTTAGTCACTGTAAAAGTTAAATATGTAAAAACTGATTTATTGGAATCTTGTTTCATAAATGGGGATACAGGGACACAGCGAGATCAAGAAACTAAGTCTGAACATTTTGAAATAATTGGGTCCGAGAGACGAGACCTCAGCAGACAGCTATAGCACTTGCATCTTTCTTTTGGAGAAGAATATAATATCTGAATTTCTTTAAAAGTCACTATATGAATAAATATTTGTTTGGAGATTTATAGTGTGTAGTTTAGTTTTACAACATCATTGTCTGATCCTTGTGACAACCCCACAAAGCAGGCAGGAATACCAATACTATGTGAAACTCAGTGGAGAGCAACTGTGAGGGAGCTGGGACCTCTACCATCAGAACCTAAATCTCTCTCACACGGTTCTCTGTACAGTAGGCACAGATACAGGGCTATGTCTCCTGCCTCTGGAATGAAAAAGTGCTATGTGAATTGCGTTGAGCTTAAGACAAGACATACAATTAAAAAATTGGGGAAAATAAGCCTGCCTGAAGAAACTTATCCTTTTTTACTAAAACCACCACTCCATGATGGCTCAGATAGAGCCATGGGGAAGGACCAGGAAAGTGTGTGCTTTATAAAACTTTGAAGTTTTTGGACCAAATGGATGTAGTCTCGTGTTGACTCAGGATAGACCACAAAAAGAACTTGAGTCAAACTTAAATAGCTTCTTTGTTCTCCATTTCCCTGGGCCCACATTCATGTAAAGCTCTGATGAGAGGCAAAGACAAGTTTAGACAAATGCCTGTTAGGGAATGGCAAGCCCCCAAAAGAAGAATGTTTGCCTAAATACTGAGTAGAGAGCTAAGACTTCTCAAGGCAGTGTAGCCTCCAAGTCAAGGCAACATCTTCCAGCCCTTGTGTCAGGGAGACACGAAGAGGGAGAGAAGAGCGGGAGAAAAGAGCCTGTATTAGTCTGCTAGGGCTGACGTAGCAAAATACCGTAGACTGAGGGGCTTAAACAACAGAGATTTATTTTCTCACGATTCTGGAGGCTGGAAGTCCAAGGTCGAGGTGACCTCAGATCTGGTTTCTCCTGAAGCCACTTTCCTTGGTTTGCAGATGGCCGCTCCCTTGTGGCCTCATCACATGGTCTTCCTTCTGAGGACGTGGGCCCTGGTGTCTCTCTGTGTGACCTAATCTCTTCCTCTTATAAGGACAGAAGTCAGATTGATTAAGGCCAGCTCTAACGGCATCATTTTAACTTAATCACCTCCTTAAAAGCCTTATCTTCAAGCAGAGTCTCATTCTGAGGTACTCAGGGTTGGGGCTTCAATATATGAATTTTGAGGAGACGCAATTCAGCCCATACTAGAATGCAGAGAGAGAAACTCCAAAGAGGTAGAAACACTGACCGCACATCTAGCCCTGGATGCTGGAATGTTCCTGAACATGACTCAATGGTAGGGAAGAGGTGGAGTGGGAAGAGCACTTAGCCCTCACTGGAAGCCAGCTTTTCTCAGTGTTTTTGTTTCTTCTGTTAACCCAGTGGACACAAAGGCATAAGGTATGGTCAGTCAGGGATGCTGATGTGCCTCTCAGGGAAATCTGCCGTGACCTCAAGGGACCTCTTCAGCAACCTTTCTCCCTTCTCCCCCAGATCCACCTAGTAACAGAGACGGGCAGGTCCCCACCTCCGAGCCTCTCTGACGTGGTCCTCAGAAACCTTGAAAACAGATCAAGATGGTCCATAATCAATGACAAGACTATGTCACAACAGTGCCAAATCCAACTTATTCTATTTCCCCTCTCAAACAAAGCTCAGCAATCTTGCCCATCCACACTCTCCAGAGAGGCCTATAAACACTGTACTAGGTATTAGCAGAATTCAAATAAGACATTCCCAACCATTTTAAATGCTCAGCTTCTGCCTGAATGTGATTTAATCTAGTAAAATGAGAACATTCTCATTATGCTTACAGAGAAATGAATGCTTCAACACAATTACTCCTTGATTCCACAGAAAAATAAAATTTGCAAAATGTATACCAAATGTCTGTCTGCTGCCCTTTTCTCCTGATTTTCCTTTGTACTATCCAGGAGGGTTTTTTGGGGGGTTCCCAGTTGGGACCTCTCCAGGGTTGATTGATTCCAAAGCCCTGTTCCTCACGTATCCCCCTTTTCTAGTATTCAGGATAATCTACAAATTCTATTAGAATATTGTACTGCCACAAAAGAAAACACAGTATGCCTCAGGCTCTAATGTGACCAGTACAACAAATTACTATCAAAACATAAATCTCCATATGCAATAGTATTTTTAAAAACCACCCCTGTCATTATGTTACTTAGAATTCACAGTCCCTGGTGTTGTGAAGTAAATTATATGTAAATATAAGCAAATGATATTTACACATGTAAATGATAAACACATTTTCTAAATGTTTATTTACTTATCAAAGCTCAGTGAAGGCATCAAATATGTCCTTTATTCCTTTGTTTGCCTTGCATCTCATATAACGCTGGACAGCAGTAAGGGTAAAAGATGCTGGATGAATGATAAATTATAACTTTATAATAAATGAGTAGAGACTTGAATCACATGATAAAAAGAAATTGATAAATAAGAAATTAAATTATGAGATGATGTCTTGATTTTGTGTGAAAATGTAAATATAGTTTGGGGCTCTCTAAACAATAAATGAGATACTTACTGATGCCAATAGTGCCCTATCTTCCAGGTGACAGTTGTCTAACTTACCTTATTATGCAAGCAGACAGGAAGGTGTGGGGCTGTGCCAGATGGGGTATCCTGGGCTAGGCTGGGGGTGTGTGGGCACAGCCCAGAGCAATGGGAGCTGTGGCCTGATATCTAGCCAAGGGCATTCTTAGAAGGAATGGGGGTCTTGAAGGGTCACATGGAAATTAATCTTAAATCATGGTCTAGATTTTGAGAATAGGAAAGAAAGAACAAGAGAGAAGACAAGAGAAGACAGAGCAAAGGATGATAGGAGGTAGAGTAGTAGAGCCTGGGCATACTCCCAGAGGCAGGATTATTCAAAGGAATGATCCCTTTGTAGGGCTCCAAGCCTCTGAGCAAGGAAGAAGTAAATAACACTAAGCTAGTGGAGCAAACAATAGTTTTTGAATGCTGCTGGTTTATGATATAACTGCTAACATTTTATCTCTTTTTCTAATATATTTTAGAAAAATAGTTCTCTTTCGAAGAATCTGTTTTTCATTATGACTGGAGCACTTTTGTTTCTGGCATTACCACCATTTGTTTTCATGTCATTAGAGAACTGGACTTATATTGAAGGAGTTTATTATTCATTCACCACCATAAGTGCTATTGGTTTTGGAGACTATACAATAGGTGAGTCTTAATAATCTTGAAATAAGATTAGCTATCACAGCAACACATTGAAACAGGATGTAAAATAAAGGATAAAATAGAAATGTCAACAGATTTCTTTGAGACGTAAGATAAAGGCCAGGCTCTTTTACATAAATCCCGATGGTATAAATAAACCCACCCCATCCACATTCCTCTCTCCTCACACCACGGTGATTGCTGACTATGGGAATAAAATTCCTCTTAAACTAAATATCTCTGCTTGATCACACATTTTTTAAAAAGCATATGTAATCAAAACACTAGGCTTAAGTGATTAAACCTGTATCATGTGGCTTATATAAATTTTCCAAAAGGTATTTCAAATTCCTCCCTGAAATAAAGATAGGAAAGGAGGGGGATAGAGCCATACAGACATTAAATGTTTCCATAAACATCTGTGAACCAAGATTAAAATGGCCCCTACAGCATTTTGGGTATAGATTTCTAAATGTGCAGTTATTTTCTTTCAGTACTTTAAAGCTGCATTCCATTGTCTCTGGCTCCATCATTTCTGATGGTAAGTCAGCTGTTAGTCTTATGCTGCTCCTTTGGGTGAGGAGCCTTTCCCTCACACCCACCGTGACCTGCTTCTAAGCTTTTGTCTTTGTCTTTGGTTCTCCCCAATTTAACTGTTATCTACTTCAGTGTGGTTTACTTTGTATTTATTCTGCTTAGGAATCTTAGGTCACAGAGATTATTGAAATGAGGAAGTGAAATTTTTCATTTGTTTTGAAAAGTTCTCAGCTACTAGCTGTTCAAATGTTGATTGTCCCTTGTTCTCTCTCCTGCTTCTGAGAGTCCAATTACACAAATGCAAGGCCAGCTCACAGGGTTTCACATGTTCTAATGTGCTTTCTGTAGTTTCCATTTTTTTCTCTGACTTAACTTAGGATATGTTCTCTTAAGCTGTCTTCTAGTTTACTAATTCTAACTTCTGCTATATGTAAAGTGCTTTTAAATACATTTAATGAGTTCTTAATTTCAATATCATATTTTTTTAGTTCTAAAATCCCCATTTAATCTCCCCCTTTTTTGGTAGATTCCAATTCTCTGATGAAATCCTCATCTGTTTTTCCATATTATCTTATATTTTAAAAACATGATAATCATAGCTATTTTAAAGTTCTTATCTACTACTTACAATATCTGGAACATCTGTGGGTCTATTTTATAGTCTTTTTTTTCTTATTTTTGGCTGTATGGTTCTGTCTCTTTAATGCTTGATAATTTTTATTTGGATGCCAGACACTGTATATTTTAAAAATTATAGATGCTCCAGGTAATATTAGTTTCCTCCAGAGAGGTTTTACTTTTTCCTATGCTAGGCATATAGAGGTAGGAGGGAGCGAGGAGTAGAATTAAACACCTTAATTCAGTCAGGGAATGATCTTATTCGAGACTGGATTGCAGGTTTGGTAAGGCTTAGTCTCCCTTTGGTTTCTTTCTGTTTCTAAATCTTGGTTCTTCAAGACCTTCAAATGAAAGCCTGATGTGTTCACAAAGCCATTCCTTAAGCTGGTCTTGAAGTCAGTTCTTTGTTTCTTTGTACTCCAATCTACTGAAAACTCTGCTCTGTTCCAAAACCTCTTAAAGGTTTTTGGCTTACCTTTTTTGCCTGCCACCTCATGCAACTTCAGAATTTGGCAATGTATTCCAGGGTGAAACAAGCCATGGGTTTGAAACCCTCAGATCTCCAATTTTGTCAATCCAACCATGTAGGACTACCAAAAGCTTTGCCAATTTCTCCGGTGCTCAGCAGTATCCTTCCGCTTAGACAAAGCCCAGACCCATAGCCTCTTGCCTATGCCAAGAATCAGCAAAAGACCCAAGGGAAAAAGCAGCTGCAGAGTCTCTGCCTATCTCTTCTACCTGGAATCTTAATCCTTGCAGTCTTCATTACTTTAGCAGCTGTAGTGCCTTTAAACATATGATTTTGTTTTATATTGTTTTTAATTTATCTGAGCTTTCTAGTTGTTCTCAACTGGAGCATTGTTCCATCACAATGGTACTCCATCCTACCCAGAAATGAAAGTGCCCCTATTATATCTATTTTTAATCTAAATAGCACTAAAAATTAAATCATGAATATTTAGTATATACCTAATTTTGAATAAATAAACATATTTTGAGGATATAGGCCTAAAAATCTAAAAGCGTTTTTTAAATATCACTCAGAAGAGTTTCTGTTACATTTTTCTGGATTCTCAGAGTAAAGATAGTGGGTGCTTTCTTGGCATTCCTGTAGAAATTTGCTCCTAATTTTACAATAAAACTTTTCATCTTATACTATGAAACTTAGTACTCATCTTTTTTTAAATCACATTCTCTTATCAGTAAAAAGAATGACAAATAAAAACATTTTCAAAGACATAGAAGTTTCCAGTGCTCATTGAAGAAATTTTAGAAAGCATAGCTTGATGTAAATAAGCATGAAAAAAATCAAAATGTAATTGTAGTAGCTCCTGTTAACATGTTACCTGAATTCCATGCATTTTTTAAAATCTTTACCTGCTTGACATAATTAGCATATGTAATTCTGTATCCTTTTATGTAGCTTTATATCCTCAGGCTTTCCCTAAGTCATTAAAAACTCTCCAAAAATTGAAATGCCTGCTATTTTAAATAAAATTTCAAATTTCATTTACAGCTGATTTAAAGTCCTTATTGGGTAATTTGATATTCTCAATCATTTCAGAGTCTACTTCTATTGATTGATTTTTCTTCTGGAGAGGGATATGTTCCTGCTACTTTGCATGCCTGATGAGATTATCTCTGATTCAAATACACCCTAAAGATATGGCCTGTTGGGATCCCAACTTAGTATAAAGAGTGTTTCTGTTGGAAATTGATTTAAGTTGCTTTCACCACACCACAGGAGGCTGCCAAAATCAATGCCCTAGTGTTTTAGAATAGCGAAATACACTTAAGGAAAAATGGCTTAGGTCCTCTGGTGCTTATAATGTTGTCTAGTAGAGTCCCAAATTTTTGTGTTTTCTGATGCTTTTAACATGAATCAAACATTTCTATTAGTTTTCAGCAAGGAAAGTTGGTCCAAATATCCATAGCTGTGAATATCATAAATAGAAGTTTCTTTAAATATTCTTCCTTTTAAAATTGGGGTATAATTTACCTATAGTGAAATACACAGATTATAATTGTTCAGTTCTATGAGATTTGGTTATTGTATGCCTCAGTGAGCCATGTGGACAACAGGACGTAGAATATTTCCACGTTGTGATCACTCTTCAGAGGCAGGATAGACCTTGCAACCAAAATTGGTTTGGATGTTGAGATGATGCCACATACACCACCCCCCCAAGAGTGTAGGTGGGCAGTAGTGGTGTAGTGCGGTATGTAGAGTAGTGTGTAGTAGTGGTGTAAAGAGATTTGTTATTTGCATAATGAGGCTTTCTGAGCAGAGCAGGATGACTTTTGAGCAGGTCTGAAAATTTCTTGAGAGAGCAAGAAAGAGTGACTGGATTTGGCTTTTACTGTGGACTGGGGAGCTGGGAAAGGATGAGAGCTCCATGCCTGGACCAAGGCTTGCATGGTTGCGTTTCCCACCATCAAGGAAGGGAGTATGCGGGATTTCTTATAGATTTGCCCATCTGTGGGACAAGAGGGAAAGAAAGAGGGATAATGCTGAGAAATGCCAACAATGAAGTTACACTTTATTCCATCCCATCCCTCAAAAGTACCCTTGTGATCCTATACAATCCATTCCTGTAGTGAGGTCAGGAGATTCGAGAGCTGATCAAGCAAGAGAATATGACGGTGAGGTGGCAGGAGCATGCATGAATTTTATTTGGGGTATGCTTTGATGAGTTTCCATGGGGGGTAAATCCCTCACAGCATGAGACCATCCAGAGACTACAGCATGGGGGCCTCCACCCAGGAGGAGAGGAGGGCAAGGGACCTTCTGAGGCAGAGGAGAGTCAGAGGTCTCCAGGTCAGAGAGCTCCAGAGAGCAGCAGGCATGCGGAGGCTTTGAGAGCCCCAGGGCTTACCTCATCTATGGCTTCCAGAGGTGAGGAGCAGCTTTGCGGGGTGTGCAAAGCTGGCACGTCCAAACGGCTAAAAATCTACTTATTTGGGCTATTTATAAAACAATTAGATATGGAATACTTTGAGTTTGGTGCTGGTGGGCTTTTGAGCCAGTGGCCCAGCCTTCTGTGAGGAAATCAGCAGCACAGGGCCGGTACGCAGACGCCATCTTTGGCTCATTTATGCAACAGTTCCCTCCCATTCAAAGAGGCAACCACTTTCTGATTTCTAGCAGCATTGCTATTTTGTGTGTTTTGGACTACAAAGGAACAGAAGCAGAGAACACGTGTTCTTTTGTGTTTGTCTGCAGTTACTTGACATCTTTTTGAGATTCATTCGTGTTATTGCTTCCGTGGTTCATGGTTTTTCTATTGTTGTGTAGTAGTACGTTGAGTGATGATACCACAATTGTTTCTCCTCTTGATGGACAGGTGAGTCATCTCCAATTTTTGGCTTTTATAAATAAGGCCACTATGAACATTTTCATACAAGTTTTTGTGAATCTATATTTTCATTTCTCTTGAGTAATTAGGCAAGAGTGGAATTATTGGATCATAGGTTGATATATATTAGCTTTATAAAATAAAGCTTAAAATGTTCTCCAAAGGAGTTTAGCCATTTTATTCTTTCGTCAGCAATTTATGAGAGTTCCCATTGTTCTACAGACTTACTAACGTTTGATATTATTGTTTTAAATTTGACTGTTACAGTGGCCATAAAATTGTGGGGTTGATGTGCATTTCCCTGATAACTAATAAGGTTGAGCGCATTTTAATGTGCTTATTGGCCATTCACATATCTCCTTACATGAATTCTTTTTCAAATATTTTGCTTATTTTTAGGTATTTCTTCTTTTTTAAATTTACAGACAGTAAAATTCACTTTTTTATGTACAACTCAATGAATTTTGAAAATGTATGGAGTTGTGTAACCATTACTACAAAAAAGATACAGAATGGTTCCATCACCCCCCTACACACACACACAGATGTCCAAATTTCCTTGTGGTAACCTTTTATAATCAAACGGCCCATCCTCCCATTAACCCCTGGCAACTACTTATTTGTTCTCAGAATGTCATTTAAATGGAATCATATAGTATGTTGAATTTTTAGTTTGGTTTCTTTACTTAGTATAATGCATTCGAGATTCATCCTTATTGTTCCATGTATCAATAATTCATTCTTTTTTATTGCTGAGTAGTTTCCATGGTAGAGTATGTACCATTTGTTTATTCAATCCCCAGATGAGAGATATTTGGGTTGTTTCCAGTTTGAGACAATTATGAATAACACTTTTACATTATATAAACATTTTACATTAAATAAACACTTACATATAGGTTTTTATAACAAACATAAGTTTCCATTTATCTTGAATAAATAGCCAGGAGTGAAATTGTTGAGTCATGTGATAAATGACTGTTTTCCAACTGTTTTCCAAGTGGCTGTAACACTTGCATTCCGATTAGCAATGTAGGAGAATTCCAGTCATTGTGCAACCTTGGTATTGTGCCATATTTTTTACTTTAGCATTTTAATAGATTAGTAAAGTATCTGTTAGTAGTTTTAGTTTGTATTTCCTTAGTGGCTATGATGTTGACTGTCTTTTTATGTGTTTATTTGAAATCTGCATCTTTTCCTTTTGAAATGTTGTTCAGTGCTTTTATTTGTTTTCTTGATGAGTTTTAAGAACTCTTTATATATTCTGGGTGCAAGTCCTTTGTAAGATATATGATTTGAAAATATTTTCTTCCAGTCTATAACTTGCCATTTAGTTCTCTCGTCAATCTCTTTTGCAGAGCAAAAGCTTTAATTTTGATCAGATACAACTTATCATTTCCTCTTGATGGATAACTCTTTTCATATCATATCTGAGAACTCCTTGCATAGTCCAAGGTCCCAAAGATTTTCACCTGGAGATCCCGGAAATCCTATTCTTTCTTATTAAACTCTTTTTTCTTTTTGTATTTAATTACGGATAATTTCTATTGGACTATCTTCGGTTTTATTGATGATTTCCTCTGCTCTGGCCAAGCTGAGCCCCTTACATCATTTCTTCACTTCCAATTCTGTATTTTCATTTCTAGCATTTCCGTTTGCTCTCCATTAGTTTCCATCTCTTTGCTGAAATCCCCTCCAACTGTTCCTAATGTTATCCACTGTTTTCACTATATCCTTTATCATATTTGTCATAGTTTATTTTAAATGTCTATTTGATAATTCTAATACTTTGTCCATCTCTAAGACTATTGACTGCATTTTCTTTTGAGCATGTGCCACATTTTACTTCTTCTTTCCTTAGGTTTTTATTTTATGCCACCCTGTGTGTAAAACAGCAGTGGAGACTGCAATGTTTACCTTCAGAAAAAGGCACGCTCCTTCTTCTTCCCGGCTTCTAGTATGCTCAGGCGGTGTGCGGATGTGATGGTTATTGAATCTTTAGATGTTGAGGATCTGAGCTTTGTTGCAGCTTCAGTTGGATTCAGTTCATCACTGGCTTGGAGTATTTTGAGGGTTGAACGAAGACAAACCCTTCAGCAGTCTTGAGAGCTGAGTACCGGTGAGCCGCTACACCATCATGGGGTGTTCTTTTTTCAGCTTACAGCCCGGCCACAGCTATTTGGGTTCCTGGAGTGTTCTCTTTACTCTCCAGTCCCCTACTTCCCCCCTTTGAAGGCCAGATGCTCTTCAGGCAGATTCCTCAGCCCTCCTGCCCTGCCTCCAGGCTTCAGTGGACAGTCTCTGCTGCACCTGGGATGCCCACCGTGGGTCTCACTCTACAGGGAAGCAGGTAGCCATGAGTATCTTCTCTGCCAGGAAGGGCTGCTCACTTTCTAAAATTTCATTCATTTAGGATTCTTTTTCATGTCCTCTGCTCTCTGACTTTTTAAAAATAAAACTATGATTTTGTATCCTATCATTTTCTTCTCTTGGTGACTGTAGGTATGACAATCTCTTCTGTCTTTCTACATAATAATACAGAAGTTCCTTACGTTTGCTTTTTCGTTAGTAACATAGACACTCAGATTATGGCAATAGATTGGACTCACAGTCTTAGGTATATTTTGCTTTTATTGATCTGTGCGTGTGTGTGTTTGTGTGTGTATGTGTGCATGTGCCAGTGCACAAGCACATGCTTTTAGGGAGGTGGTGTTTGGAAGAAGGTGCGTCAGACAGCAGTTAACCGAATATCACTTTAAACAAAAGTGCATGTGGCCTTCCAATTAGATGCCTTCAATTTATTCTCTGATAATTATGCTTCGTAAATCTTTGCTGGTTAATTTATGAAATTATAGATGAATATGGAATAATTTAATGTCTGATAATTTAAAATATTTCCTGTTATCTCATACTCTAATAAGCACAGTTAAATTGTGTTCTTGTGATAAATCGCAATGTGTTCACTGTGTTGTCTCTGTTTACTTCTCTTTGACTTCGAAGTTCCTGCTCTTTCAGCTACCCCTCCTCATATGTGTAGATTGCAATCATAAAAAATAAATGACAAGACCTGAAGGGAATGTGAAAGTTATAGTTTGCCATATTTGGATGAATGAATTATGAGTGATTGTCTTTCCCTTCTTCAAAAAGTTCTCGCAAGATTTTTAATGACAAAGGCAATGAATTTATAGAATTTTAAACTCAGAAATACAGACAAGTGGCACAATGAAAAGTACTGTATTTTTGTCAACAAAATCTGAATCCCGTTTTAAATGGTTTTGTGTTATATATTTTTTCTTCCCCCATTTTAAAGGTTTCCTAGCAGTAGTGATGATAAATAAATTACCTCATTGCGAAGTATTGTATTTATTGTGATATTCAAAAGGATAATTTTCAAAGAAGAAGAGAATTTTTCAACCTCCAGATGTGATCTAAAAAATGAAAAGAATCTGAATATTTGGAATTTAAATTATATTTTTTCCTTGAAAGTAGAGATTATTTTAATTTCTAATTTGTTTTCAACATCAGACTCTAAAAGGAGGCATTTTTCTAGGTATCGATGAATGGAAAGAAAACGTTATGGGGAAAAGTCACCATCTGATTATTTGCATGTTATTTGCTTCCTGTCTTTAGTTTCAAACCCAATGAAAGAGAGTCAGAACATCGCTTACTCAATCTTATTATTAATTTGGAATCTCCATGGTCTTGCCTGGATTGCTCTTGTATTTCATTTGATAACCAACGTTTTTCAAGAAATGGAATCAAAGCTAAATAAGAACATATCTGAAATAGAAGTTGAAGCAGAAAGCATGAAGTCAGGCGCTGGAGATCCACACGGTCGGTAGGTTTCCTCGATCCAGACAGCAGAGGGTTTCCACAGAGCCCTTTCAAAGGTGTCAGAACAGGAAGGAAAAACAGAAAAACACCCAGATGTCTCTCCATAAACTTCTTATGTGAGTTACATTTCCTCAGTGAAATTTATTGATTTAATTTTGTATTGTCATTAAGAAAAATAATTTTAAAATATAATGCAAATCTCAACTTTACTTGTTAATTTTCCCCACATCAGCTTTGCCCCATGTGTAGATTAACACTGCATTTGTGTACAATAGTAGCTATTCTGAAAGCTGTGTTCTCATTTTTTTCCACCGTGCATTTCAATTAAAGTAGAAATACGCATGTACAAAACTATGGAGCTATTTTTATTGGGTTCTTGTACACATAATTTCTAATTATCAATCCAGTGTTTCTTGAAGTTTTATGCATTTTTTTAGCCCTATCAAACAAAAAGCATTTTAACCCAAAAGTATGGCTTGAGAGATTTGTTTATTTCATAAGGTATGATTTGTACCTTATAGCAATATCTTTTTTGGACAATGAGGAAATTTAGCCTTTGACATTATGAAATATTTCCCGATGTGACCTTTTTTAAAACCCAAGGTATGAATTCTTTCTATATAGGTATAGATATAGACATAGATGTGGATATGTGCGTGTCTGTAGTTAATAGATAAATGTCAGAGCCAGAGGGCCCCTCTGTACTTAGAAAAAGACCCTTATCTCCCACAGTGGACGGTCATAGCTGAACAACAGGCTGGAAACCTCGTTCTTAGAGTCACAGTGCTCTAGAGACCTTTGAATGTTCAGTCAGGGCACGTCTATAACGCGAAAACCAGGGCCCTAGTGGGCATCCTGAAACAGGGGTGGGGAAATCTGGATGGATACTTCTCAGGATATTGACTCTGCATCCTTCACCGGTGGATCCCCTGGGCTGTAGCGATGGCTCATCTCTCCCTGGCAAGAGCGCGTGCTTGTGCCGTGCTGGAAAGTGCTGCAAAGCCTCTTCCCCACGAGCAGCAGAGGCTCTCCTCAGAAGCAGGCCCTCCCTCCTCTCCTGGCTGCCAGGCCCATAACTAGAGTTAAACCCCTGAATCAGCTTCCAGGGGCCATGTTGGGCCTGATATGGGAGAAAAGATATTGTGCAACAAAGAGCTGGAAGAAGTCATTGGCTGGTGCCAATGAATTGAATTGGGGTTTGTTTGATTGATTGGGGTTGAGTATGGAGGGTACTTGATCAAAGTGTACAGAATGTAAAACTGGTCATGCAAGAATCGTTGTTTAGGGACCCTTGTTCATGACGTGGGATTTAACTCTGTATTAGCCTGGGTTTTCCAGAGAAACAAAACCAATTTTTATACAGATTTTCTTCCACTCATGATGGGGTTAGATCCCGATAAACCCATAGTGAGTTGAAAATATCGTAGGTCAAAAATGCACAGAGTTTGTGGGGTGCGCCCTGCCTCTTTAAGCATCAGGGGTTCCTTGGGGCAGCAGAGGTGGCCTGAATTCGTCTTAGTTTTCCTCTGGGCTGGAAGAACCCGGGGCCTTCTGAGACCTGTACTGAACCAGCCTCATGGGCAGCACAGAAGACTGTGGGGGCTTCTTCAAGCAATTTTGAAATGAAGTTTCCAGTCGTTCTCAGTTTTGGAGTTAGAGGACTTGGAGACTCTGGGCCACAGGGACCGGATGCACAGTCCCAGTCTCTAACAAGGATTGAATTCCCTTCTCCCGAGGACCTCTTGTCCAGTGTCTTCGGGGTGGCTTTCTGCTCTGTTCACTGCCACAGACCCCTGTGGGGATTCCTGCCCGAGCTGCAGTGGATCTTCAAGGCTTGATGGTGGATGAACCTCAGGCCCTTCACCTCTACACCCTCAGGACGGTGAGGTGATTCAGAGTGAATCTGGCCTGGGCTCTAATACTACAGCACTCCGGAGCCCAGGAGGGTGTTTGGGTTCCCTGCGCTGTGCCTGCTCTTCCACTGGGCATCATGCAGACACACAACCATGGCTGTTGGCCTTACTTAAGTGTCACCCTCGCTGCTGACTTCTGTAATCATGGTGCTATGGTCTGAACATTTGTGTCCCCCCCAAATTCATATGCTGAAATCCTAACCTCCAAAGGTGACAGTGTTAGTAGGTGGGACCTTTGGGAGGTGATTAGAGCTCTTGTGAAGGAGACCCCACGGAGATCCCTAGTTCCTTCCGCCGTGTGAGCGCACAGCGAGAAGGCGCCACCATGAGCCTGGAAAAGCAACTGGCACCCGGCCATGCTGGCTCTGAGGTCTTGGACTTCCAGCCTCTAGAACTGTGAGAAGTCAATCTCTGTTGTTTGTAAGCTACCCAGACTGTGGCATTTTGTTATAGCAGCTGGAACGGACTGAAACACATGGGTCAAATCTGACCAGAATGCCAGTGAGAGACCTGTTTGTCCAAGCAGATGCCCAGGATTGGGGAGGGGGCAAGGGAGAACACTGTGGCCTTCTCCTTTTGTTTTTTTGAGGAAGATTAGCCCTGAGCTAACATCCCCCACCAATCCTCCTCTTTTTGCTGAGGAAGACTGGCCCTGAGCTAACATCTGTGCCCATCTTCCTCTACTTTATATGTGGGACGCCTGCCACAGCATGGCTTGACAAGTAGTGCATAGGTCAACACCCAGGATCCGAACTGGCGAACCCTGGGCTGCTGAAGTAACCACTGCACCACTGGGCTTGCCCTCAATGTTCTTTCTTGCTTTGAGACGTATTTACAGGTAAGATTCAGGGGAACAGAGGCAAGAAGTAACTTCTATCTTCTGGGTTCAGAAATATTGAATAAAGCCCTATTCTGCCTGCCTCCCTCATCGCGACGAGAGTGCCACTACACTGCAATGAGCAGATTTGTCTAATGGTGACCCTGGGAATGATTCCAGGTAGCATGGATGGTAAGATGGTAGGGACTAGGGCATCTCCCCTTCTGCCAGAGCTCCCCATCCCCCATCCCTCACCCCGCCCCCAGGAGGGGATGCAACTTTCCACAAGCCCCACAGCTCCAGGTGTCTGGCAGCTGTCTTTCCCAGACAATTCCCTAAAGGTCACATCTGAAGCCAGAATGCCTGGCACCTAAACACCCTTGCTTCTTTCTACTGATAAAGACAATCTCTTGCCTGACCAATAAGAATTGTGGAAATAAATGAAGACCACTCAACTGAGAAGAAAAAGGCTTGTTTATTTGGAGCTTTCTATAACAAGGGAGTCGCCCACCATTACTTGCATTTGGCAGAGACTCAAAGGCAGAGAAGTGAAATGGAAAAGCTTTATAGTGAAAAAAAGGGAAGGCTTCAGCTGTGCTCTGATTGGAGATGTCGTCATGGGAAGCCAGAGGCTGGCTAATTAGAAACAGTGCATCTCTTGTGATTGCCTTGGGGGAACATGTTTGTTTACTCTGAGGGGTCCTGAGTTGCAAGCAGGGGCAAAACTTAGGGAAGCTGGCAGTCATTGCCCAGGGCCTGACCGCTCTGGGCAGATGGCTGCAGAGGTTGTGGTTTGGCTTCCTGGACTGGTGCTGCCAAGGTTGTGGGTTACAGTTTTATTGTCACATGTGGTCTGGCCATTGTCTGTTTGTATATTCAGCCTCTCAGAATGGAGACCAGTCGTGGGTTGGAGTCCTCAGACCTATAACTATTCACAGACCTAGGACCGCTGAGCAGTGCCCAGCGTCAGCACTCGTCTTTTGGGAAGACACAAAGACTGAAGGACCTGTGTCTTCTCTTGAGCTAAATCCTCCCACTAAAGCCTATTCGTTAACCAGTGGTTCTCAATTCAGGGGGTGATTTTGCAGCCCAGGGCATGTTTGGCAATGTCTGTAGACATTTTTGGTCATCACAACTGGGGGTGCTACTGGCATTTAATGGGAAGCTGCCAGGGATGCTGCTAAATCTCCTATAAAGCACATGACAGCCCCACACAACAGAATAGACTAGGACTTAGATGAAAATTGTCCTGTTCCAGTTTATCACAGCTCTCAAAAATTTTAATGTTTGACCTCGCAGAGAGAGTTAGATCTGTGTTATTAACAAGTTGTTAAGTGCTAGGCTTGAGTCTTCAGGTGGTCTCTCGTACTGCTACATGGTTCTTCTCACATAAGATTCCAGGCGTCAAGCTCATTTGCCTGAACAATCCATACTTGTCAAGCAAGTATCTTATTCTAGACTCGAGGAGAATAAAAGGAATTTCTTTGAGACTTCCTTCACTCAAGTACCTATGAATCTTCCCTAAGAAATTTGCCTTCTTAATGGAAACAGTTTATTTACACTCTTACGTTGATAAAAGTTCTCTAGAAATCTTTCTGACAATGGGTACATATTCTTCACCTAGAAGCTAGGTTAGGCATTGTACATGACAAATATTACTTCTCTCATTGCTGTATATACATAATGATTTTGATCACTTTGTTGCTGAATATAATCCCATATGGCCCAGGTTTCACCATTGATACTGAGCACGTGATCTGGATGTTAGTAATAGTTTACATCTGCAGTTAGTGTCTCTATATGGCCTCTCCTGCCATGGAAGCCAAAGTCTTGTCCTGGTGATCCCATTTAGCTGGAATTTGCCTTGTTTCCTAAAGAGGAAGTGGTCTTACAGGAAATGACGTTATACCTGCATCTGTGAGTAGTGCCAGACATTTTTAGAAGCAACAGGGTCAAGGGAACCATATTGGGAAAGGGGGAAAAATTAACTAGCAGCCTTTAAGTAATTGCTGGGCGACCATTCCTCTTTCCTGGTCCTGTTGAGCTGTGCGTTCAGTGTCCCCACGCCCAAAGCCTCTGAGCCTACAGCTACCCCAAAACGTGCTCTGTTTGGCCTCAGGGACTTTCCACTTTGCTTTAATCCCTTTGGTGAATTGCAATCTTATGGTTCTCTGTCCAGGTTTAGTCAGTGGATTGTCCTAAAATGGATCCCTCTGATTTTGTGAAACAAAAATGTTTGGGATATTCCCGTCCCAATGAATATTTAATTGCAGTTTTTCATTAGTCGGGATTTTTTCTCAATGAACCATATACTCTTTCTCACGATTGAGTAAATGAGGCTATTCTACTTTTAATTGAGGTTCAGGGCTCTTTACAGTATAATTACAGAGTTCTTCATGGTGGACATGACCAAATGTCACCCAGACTGCTCGCTTCTTTATCTTTTTCCATCACATGCAACAGTCAGAGATCTTGTCCTGATGTCATCTTCCTGAGAAATAATCTGGATAAGTGAACCCAAAATGCCGTGGTATTAGAGCCCAGGCCAGGTTCACCCCAAATCACCTCACAGTCCTGAGGGTGTAGAGGTCAAGGGCCTGAGGTTCATTCGCCATCAAGCCTTGAAGATCCACTGCAGCTCAGGCAGGAATCCCCACAGGGGCCTGTGGCAGTGAACAGAGCAGGAGCTCAATGGTGGTGTCCCTTTGGACACAACTGGGGACAAGTGCTTCTGCTGTGGCCAGAAAAGTCAGCTTGGCTTCCCTGAAAGTAGCTTTGGTATAATTTCAAAGAACCAGCTTCTAGTGGGGGGTGTGATGTCCTATGGCCTTAAGGGAAATGTCTGAGTTCTAGTTCTGATACCAGCCTAGGACAAGGTTGACCTGAGGGAAGTTATATTGTAACTCAGAATGACCTCTGAGTAACTCACCCACACTGTATATGTTTTACCTTGCACTCTAAGAGATAAATAGCTACCCTCCAGGAAATAATCCTGGCTGATGCATGTACTTCCATGCGGTGATAAGTGATAACTTTGTTCTTTTGAGTTTCTTAGGAATATGATGACATCAGAGAAGAACATCTATGCTGGCATCCATTGTCGATGACAATTGAAAAACCTAGTGTGTCATCTCCAGTCGCTCATGCCAGATGGTCAATGTTCCTTAGCCCCACGTTTATAGCCTGCTAGTGGCTATATAACTGCTTAAAGTTTGTGCTTATTTAACATGGTCTTTGGGACATGAGTCCACCGTCTTCCAATTTGCTGGCTAATAGAATAAATCCCTTTCTCAACCACTGATGCATTTTGCAATTGATCGGCTTCAGGATTGCAGTGAGCAGAACGAGCTCCTGCTTGGTTACATTTCCAGGGGTAAAACAGGAAGAACCAAGATTAGCCCTTTGGACAGGAAATGCTTCCCAAAGACTTCAGGGTTTATCTGCAGAAGAGCCACCCCAGGGAGGAAAGGGAGCCATTTAAACCACTACTGAGACAGGGCCCTCGACAGTTTGATCAGAACATGGGCAGAAAAGATGTTATTTTGTACTTTCAAGTGGCAAAAAGACATACAGGTTATAAAACTACAGACTAAATTAGCTAAGAACATACTTCAACTCAAACATCCAGGTAAATGTAATAAAAACCACATAAAATGGTGTAATAAAGTTAAGAGTAAATATACTAGGAGGAATAAAATAATTAAAACCAGAAGATAAATAGAAAGAAAGTATGAAGGGCATAAGAGGTCAAGACTATGTTAGTAAGCAATAAAAAAACCCTGAAGTACAGATGCTGGGTCTTGTCCCCCTGCCCCTCCACCACAGGAGCAGGTGGTTCCCGGGAGCGTGTCAGTTACCGAAGCTTCGCAGACTTTGTGTCTCATGGTTTGCCCAGGGCAGCCTTTCACTGCAAGGGCTCTGGGGACCTACAATGAAGATGGGGCCTCCAGGCATACCGTAAACCTTCAGACAGAAACTCACCTTCAGACACTCTTCCAGCTTCCTTTTCTTCCTGGCACCAGAAGGTATGCAAAACCAATCCGCAATTCTTTCCCAAGCAGTGTGTTTGGGTAGATGTATGTTTTGTGCTTGCTACTTTCATGTTTTAAATTCTGTTATCATTTTATTTTACTAAAAGAATTCCCAGTTAAGTGACTCATGTGTAAATCTGAGCTTTTATTTTCCCATGCCCTGTGAAATTCTAGCCGGTTAGTCCACAAGGTCAACACTTCGAGAGGTCTCCTTTGTTCTCCTAAGGACAGCGGCCTAAATGGTAGATGTAATCTCTGAAAAGAAATGTGTGTCTGAAGGACAGGCCTTAAAAGTGAGCACTTACAAAGTGGTCACTCATGTCACCCTTGAGTGATTCTCCCTTGCTGCCCATCCTGTTAATGTAGGAAGGAACAGTGCCCTGCAAACTCGCCAAGCTTAGAATGGTGGATTTGGCACTGCTTGTTGGTCATCCTCTCCTTACGCCGTCAAAGGCACTACTTCTGAGTCATAAATACCCTCAGATCTGCTCAGGGATCTGTGCTCTCACTGGGCAGCCAGAGGGGATGAGTTCTTGAATCCTGGGGTTGAGTTTGAAGATGTTTTTTCCTCATGGCTGTGATGATGTGTTCCACATCCTTCTGGCACCCAGGTGGCGGTCAGAAATCACGTGTCCGTGGGCTTCCCATTGTTTGATTCTTCTTTAATCCTCTCTCTCTGTCTCCATTCTTCAGATTTTCTTTATTTTTTTTTTCCTGAAGTGTCACAGTAATGATCCAATGTGTGGGACTTTCATTTATCCACTGTGTCAGGCCCTGGTGGCCCTTTCAAGGGGAAGAGGTTGCGTTCCTCTCTGGGAAACTCTGCAATACTATTTTTTCACGTTGGAGTTCCCATTCCTGGGATGATAGGCTTCCTGGATAGATGCCCTAGACCTCATATTTTCTCTCAAAAAATGTCAACCACTGTCTTTTTGCTCTACTTTATGGAATATTTTCTTGGCTTTATCTTCCAACGCTCTGTTGATTTTTTTGGGTTTGGATGTAATCGTTTTCATGTCCAAAGACTTTGAAAAAAAAAGTGCCAATTCCTTGTTTTCCTGTCATCCAGTTCTCGTTTCACCTCTGCGGAGACTCATCGGGGTCTCTTCTGTCCCCTGCTCCCTCTTGATTTCCTTTGGGCCCCTTTGTTTCCTGCTTGCTTATTTTGGTCTCTCATTTTGGGGACTAACTTCAATAGTGCTGTAGTCTTTGAGAATGCACATGGATAAAACCATAGCAACTGGTGGGTGTTGCTTTTAGATGGCCAGAAGGGGATCTATCGATTATGCCGGGAGGTCTCTAAATGCCCGAATGTAGAAGTCTTGGCTTGTGGGGCACTGAATTTCTTTAGAGAAATATCCTCCAGTTTGGGGTTTGCGAAATACAGTGACTATGAAGTGTTGGATTGGAGAAAGCATTGGAGTATTAACAGTTCCTCACACAGACTTTTAAAAAAAAATTTATTGAGGTCATATTAGCTTTTAAAGTTGTATAAATTTGAGGTGTACACTGTCATATTTCAGTTTCTGAATAGATTGCATCACGTTCACCACCAATAGTCTAGTTTTTATCCATCACCATACACATGTGCCTGTTTCCCCCTTTCCCCTTCTCACTCACTCCCTTTTCCTCTGGTAAACACTAATGTGTTCTCCTTATCTATGTGTTTGTTTATCTTCCACATATGAGTGAAACCATAAGCTATTTGTCTTTCTCTGTCTGACTTATTTTGCTTAGCCTGATACCCTCAAGGTCCATTCATGTTTTCACAAATCGCACAATTTTGTCTTTTTATGGCTGAGTAGTATTCCATTGTATATATAAACCTCATCATCTTTATCCATCCATCTGTTGATGGATACTTGGGTTACTTTCACATCTTGGCTATTGTGAATAATGCTGTGATGAACAGAGGAGTGCATAAATCTTTTTGAATGGTTGATATCATATTCTTTGGATAAATGCCTGTGTTTTTAGCTCCACATGCCACTCTCACCCCGCAGTTTCCAAGCCTTGAGACTCTTTGGGGCTGAGGCCATGATTTTCTTTGTGTACTAGGCTCTGGCTTCTTCTTGCTGCTCCACCAGGCATCACTCCTCTATTTACTTTCTGTCTTCTAGAAATTTGTTGTCTGCTGATGGCCTTCTCCCCTTTTCCTCATCAATTGGGTTTACCTGAATAGAGTATCATCTTAAAGTCAAAGAAAGGGGATCTTGGTGAGGTGGAAACGCCTGGGAAAACCTGATTCTGGTCAAGTTAGAGGACATGATTCTGTGAATCCGTGGGTTGTACATATGTAGTAAAAGACGAGGGCCAGGACTAGGATGATACAGATGAGGCTCTCATTCATCGCCTCGGGTACAAAATTTAAGGGGTCATGAGCCAAAAAACTCAATAAAAAGAGTCAAAATTGTTAGAAGTATCAACATTTTAAATAAAGACAGGATTAGTAACAGTGCCCTTCTGAGCCATATTGAAGTCTGAAGCAATAGGAAAAAGCAGGAAAAAATACTGATCCTGTCTTTATTTAAAAATTTGACATTTTGTTCATCATAGATTTTTTGCATAATTTTTATTTTTAAAAATATTTCACTAACATATGATGCATCTTAATTAGTGAGATTTTTTGGGACTCCCTTAAATTTTATGCAAGCTGGTGAGATTTGAAAGAGCTGGAAAATTTAATAAGCACAGAGAACAACTTACAGAAATAAGTGTTTGCAAAGTATACAAAGAAAGTTTTTATGTGCAAGCCAGTTAAGCCATGACTCCATAATAAGACAAAAGACAATATTTCTCATATGATAGTCTCAACAGAATAAATCAGGGGTGACACAGCCTCCAGGCTCCTAGGTTGTTGCTCTGCCATCTCCTAAAATGTTTCCCTCACTCATAAGGTTAAAGATGGTTGACTACATGATGGCAGGAGTTTACCTAATTGCCTCCCTGCCAGCTAGTTAGTCTACCACTGCTTGGGACTGAGGGTGGGAAAAGTCAAAAACACACAATACAGCATCTGAAACATAACTGGAGCTAAAATGCAAAATAAATGAATGAATAAGTACTTATGGTGTTAATACCACCACCAACAGTGTATAAATAAGACTCCCACATATAAACATAGACAGAAAATGAAAAATTATGAGACACATGAAAAGAAGTTCAAAAACTTGCTTAAACTTCTTTTAAGCACACTGATTAAGAATTATTGCCAGTTCTATGGGGAGGAAGAACTGGATACTGATATCAAAACTGTCTGTAAACATTTTTTCTTAGTTATATATTTTTGTGTATAGTATGCTGTATAAAATTCTCGTTAAAATTTTATAAAGCTCAGAGAAGTAACAAAGCTGACATATAAATGGCCACCACTGAAATATAATTGATGAGGAAACAGAAAAGTGGTTTAATGATTTGAACTTATTCTTTAATTTGAAAGCAGAAAATGCGATCAGGCAAAAAGAAAAGTTACTCAAAATATTAAAAATAAAAAGGCTAGCTGTATTAAATACTCAATAGAAATGACAAATACTAAATAGACACCGACGAAAATGTAAATTAGAAGAATATCAGGAAAAATTCATCCAGCATTCAGAGAAAAAAAGAAATATAGAATTAAAATGACAAATATAGATGACAAAGAACATATGCTAGAGAAGAAAAAAACTCTGCAAACATTTTGAAAACTGGTCATCTGCCAAATGCTATCTGCTAAAATTCAGTATCTATTTCTGAGAAAATACTTCGTAAGCTAGAAAGAGATGGAAAATCTCTTTTTGATAGATGGTGTCTTTCAGAAGGTTTTCATATCAACCAAAAACAAGTGAAAAATTAAGTCAAGTAAGAATCAACCATGACAGTGCCATGTTGTGATAAAAATAAATATACAAAATCTAACAAATTTTTTATATACTAAAAAAATTTTTAAAATATAATGATAGGCATAGAAAATGTTCATATCTCATCTTTTTTAATACTCTTTGCAGGTAAACCAGATTGATGATGAAAGGAAGGGGGAGGACGTCAGCAGGCAAGAGATTTCAAGACAAATCTGAAAGAAAATTTCTAGACGATAACACAGAGAAAATCTAGGTGACCTTGGATTTTGAGATGAGTTTTTACATACACACCACCAAAAGCATAATCTATGAAAGAAAATATTTGATAGCTTGGATTTCCTGAAAATTAAAAACTTCTACTCTGGCAAAGACAATGTTAAGAGAATGAAAAGGAAAGCCACAGACAGGGAGAAAATATTTGCAAATCCCGTATCCAATATGGGACTTGTGTCCAAAATATACAGAGAACTCCTAAAACTCAACATTGAAAAATGGGCAAAAAATACACACCTCATCAAAAAAGATATACAGATGGCAAATAAGGAGAAGATGGTCAACATTAAATGTTATCAGGAAACTGCAAATTAAAACAATAATTAGATAAAACTACACACCCATTAGGATGGCTAAAATCCAAAACACTGACCACATCAGCATGCTGGTGAGGCTGTAAAGCAATGGGCACTCTCATTTATTGAGGGA